GCCGGCCGTCATCCTGCGATGCACAACCCCTTTGATCAGAGGGAATCAGTATTTATTGATGTTTATGCACTGATATTTATTTTATTGATATTTATTTACTTTATCAATATTTGTTCCCACCCAATCATGATTGCACAACCAAAGTCTGATACAGGCGAGGGCAGGCAGGGTCGAGGGGCGACGGTCCCCGAACTGAGAACGTGGGATCGATTCCACGGCAACGCTTTACAGCTGGGCTAAGGGACAGCAAGAATTATGTCCCTTACATCGCGTCTGTTCATCAATGTACTTAATGCAATTGCTAATGCCACGTCATATCTATGCGCCCAGTTGTTAGCAACACTCTATCGGTTCCAGTTACAGCAATGAGGTGGAACTAAATTTGGTTGACCTAATCAAACTCAGCAGGATAATCACGCCAGTTTTGATTGTTAAACGCGTGCAGGTTTAATGCTTGTGCGCCTGTATGAAGTGACGAGGCACGGCCCTTGCGACTGCGGGGCCCTGTCGTGCGCAAATCTGCGTGCAGGTCTTCCCAAGCTTGGACGCCAATATTTTGCAAGTCAGGAAATTCAAAAGCACATATTCATGCGATCGACCTTGAGATCGACGAACCTTTGTCGAGTGCATTTGCCGATAACACGTAACCCTGCCGCACTCGGACTTGGTATTTGTGTTTGCGCTTGCGATCTCCCTTTACGTTTTTATGTGCAGAACCATACATTTGCGAAAGGAGCTATTTGCGGCCATTATTATGTTTTTGCGGCTTGTTGGGACACACGGGTTGCGCAATGGAAGTTGCATACAATGGTCAGTCCTCCGCCATCTCCAGCCCCCGCAGAACAATTTCCATCTCGCCCTCGGCAAGGGCAACGACGGCATGGAGCAAAAGCTCATTTGCTGCCCATTCCAGCTTGTCTGCCTGCCACTCCCTGGGCTCCCTACCTTTGTATGTACTGTCCTTATGTACGCGGCGCTGTATTGACGTTTTATTGGCGTGTTCTTACGTATTTTTACGTGTAAAAACCTAAAAATTATTGTACGCGCAAGAACGTAGGTACAGTTTGTGACTACGGCGTAAATACCGATCCTGGCCGCACTTACTGTAGATAGTTGTTTTCTAGGGCCTTTGCACCCTTCGTGACCTTCACAATCCCTTCATCAGCTTCATATTCAAAAGTGATGGGCATCGGACAAGCCTCCCCTTCACCCACTTACACACCTCTGGGTTGATGGTCGCCGAGAAAATCGCGGGCAGGGAGGGCTTCAACGGGCAAGTGGCTGCGAAATCGCAGGGGTTGGAAGAGGCCCAGAAATGCAATTGGGAGGAAATTGGTATAATAATTATAATTAAGTCATTAAGGCCACGAAGGCGGACTTCAGTGGGGCATGGGTCCCGGCGGAGGACAGCACCACGGAAATGGTGGCTTCGGACAAGGTGGCAAACTCGAAGCTGTGGATCAACCTGGGAAATCGCCAGAATGGATCAGCGGAAATGGCGCCCAGGCGCGTTGGACAAGTGGCCAGGCGGGCGTCGCCTGGCTGGGGCAAAGTACAGTCTGAACGCATTTGGAGACAGTTTGAAAATTTGAAATTCAAATCAAGCCTGCAGGGTGTAGCCCAAAATTGGTACGACGGTTGCGTGGCGAAACGGACATGTACAGCGTGGGCTGAACTTCGCGGCGCCCTCCGTGCGCGGTTTACGCCAGCAAAACGGGATCTAAATACTAAATTAAAATCACTTCATTTCATTTTCGAGAAAATTGGTAAGAGGTCAGTACATAACAGAACTTGCTTGCACCAATTGTCCTGAAAGGCACAGTTGCTGTGTATGTATTCCAGACGTCGAGGGCGCTCGTGTTCAGTTTTTAAGTGCGGGTTCACCAGCTGAGCCGTGTTGGCAATGGGAACCCATTATTTTTATATATAATTAACCCATTTGAAAACTGATCAAAGCAGGCAAGCTTTTCAACAGGGATGATGTTGACAAGACGGCACTGCCATACATGCCATTTCCGCACAAAGTGGCGCCATCGCGGTGACTGTGGCGGCATAACGGCAGGTGTGATGGCATCAATTAGTGTCAAATGAAGTTGCAGTTGGCATCGCGAAAACCTCCTTTTGTACTGGTGTTGCCGATGGGGCGGGCGGGGGCCCGATGTTTGTGGGTGCCTGTGCGATCCCTCTGTGGTGGAGGGGGAGGGGCCGGCGGGCGGGGGCCGGCGGGCGGGGGCCCGCGGGCCCACGGCATGCCTCCGACGCCGTTTGTCAATCAAGCGCCGGCTGCGCCCGAGCAGGGCCTGGCTCTCCGTCGGGCGGTGACAGATGGACTGGGAGCTGAGCGCCGGTGGTGGGGCACAACGCGATGCCAGCGTCGACACCACAGACCTCGCCAGTAGTCATTCACTACCATGGACCGTGCCACTCACCACTCATTGTGGTCGCCAAACCAGCAGACGGCCTTCTGTGCAAAGGGCGGCACAAGCTGGTGCTCTGGGTGCGGGGCCTTATGCCAGTGCTTCATCAGAGGGTCCGATTTGTACCGGGCGGTACATGTACTGGAGTGCGGCTTCGGCCACTCACTTTGTTCATCTGGGACACCCCAGCCGTCGCTCCAACGCCGTCGAGCGCGCGGCTGTGCCAGCTTTCAAGGCCTCGGGGAACGAGGCGATGGGCGACAAAAAGTATTTACAGTTTTGATATGGAGGACCAAGAATACATGTCATATTATAACATATTCTTCTTGGCGAAAGAAACCTACAGATGTGATGCGCAAAGCCCCGCAAACATTCACTCCACTCGCTGAGCGACAACTTGCGCAGGGCTCTTTTCCGCATTAACTGCAGCGAGCCTGACGGGACGTCAGCGTGTTGTTGCACAGATACACATACAGGCACAGGTGCGGCAGATCCGCCGCTGCGGGTGCTGGGCTGGCGGAAGAGCCGCCCCTTTCGCGGGTCGCCCCAGGGGACCGCCACAAACGTCCGTCCCAAAGGAGGTGCAATTCCGACTCCCCAGAGGGGTCGAGACGTGGCAGACGCTTCCTTCCGTCCATGAAGTCGTTTTCAACACACAACAAACACACACGTGCACACATCCCAGAGCTCGGAATGAGCACCGATCGAACGCTCAAGCCCCCACCAAAGTCAATTGGTCCAGCCCGGCACACTGCTCCACGGCCGCCGGCAAAGTGTGGCCGCTCGACTACCAACCGGCGCTCCGCGGCGGTGTTTCAATTCCACGCTCAAGAGCAGCTCGGCTGCGGTCGCCTCACCATGCTGAGGTGCACGAACACCCCGCAACGGGGCGCGCAGCACGAGGCCATTGCCCAGGGCGCTCCCTCCGCCCTTTCGACACACCTCAATATCCTGAAGCTGAACAAGATAGGCTGAAATGCCCCATTCCCAGCCAATCGATCCCAAAAACTGGGCAAACCCCCTGGAATGCTTAGCTCATCCCCAATAATGGTCAGTGGTCTCCCGGCTACTCTACCAGGGTATATGCTTCGCCCCGACTTTACTTCCTGATGCGAATCACGCCGCCGGTTGCCCTGATCACCGGTCCAGGCCACCGACTGTTGGCCGAATGTCTGCCCTGCAAGCGAGGTCACCCCCCCCATAAAAGACACCACCAGGAAACTAATAGAGAGGATCAAAGTCTACCGCTGTCAAGGCCACCGTCAATGTCTACAGGGATGGGAGCACTAAAGGCGTGTGTGTCGTCGGAAATGAATTGTATGTCGGACACCGAGGAAGGCCGACGGCGACCGTGCGCAGAAACGCAGGCCGCTCATTGGCACTCCGTCGGACAATTAAGTGAAAAAACAACGAGACCGTTTGTATTGGAGCCAGCCGACCTGGTCAGCGCTCCGAACTCGATGCCTACAACGGCCACACCCATGTGGACCCGCGCCTCTCCCTCACCCCGGGGGGGGGGGTCATGCGAAGTGGTGCATTACTCAGTACTTTGTAGTACTGTGTTGTACCGCTCTCACCTGAGTAGAGCTACGGGCCCGTAGCTAGCTCCAAAGCACTTCCTCCCCACATCCCACAGCCACGCCCTCCCTGTCCACCGCACTGGCACGTCCCCAGAGGGACTCCCCACACCACCGCCCTTTCGGGCGCACCCACTTCCAGAAGATTCCACGCGAGGCTCAGTAAACTCACAAGCTGCTCTCCTACTTAGGACAGGCAGTTCCGGCGGGAGACGCTCCCTGCCCTGGGCGGCCTCACAGCCGTCCATGCTCCTGGCTGGGGCCACGACCCTGTGAGCACGCCTTCAGAATAGGTATACGCGCCGCCCTTCAAGACGGCAGGCGTGCTGCGCCTCCCCGCGACCATCAACGCATCCACCAGGTCCGAGGTCCTGCATGCCTCGCAAACCAGACGTGACAAAAAAAAGAAAGAAAAATGTTCCCCCTGTTCGGGAGCCCTGCTTTCCGCCGCGAGGCAAAAACAGCGGCGTACGGCCGGCCAGGTGGAGCGAAGCATCCCATGTACACATGCATGCACCGCCCTTAACTATCGAGGCGCCGAGCGCTAGCTAACAACGAGGCGCCAGCACTGAACTAAACCCCCTACAATACAACGACGCTGCGCGACTCCCATCTGTCGGGTCTCCCCGCTTGCGCCATTAGGTTTCTCAAACTCGTTGAACATGTCAAATCCCTGCGTGGGGGCGGTCGTCAGCCGCCCCCCCCCTCACCCACGCGCCAGCGTTAACGGCGCCCACCCATTCGCTCAACAGATTTCCAACCAACTTTCTTCAACAAAAAAATGGCATTAGCGCCCAATCAATTGTCTGGCGCGGAAGCTTGGAGTCCAGCGCCCTCTGAAGAAAACACGCCACCTATCTAGCCATCGGCCACCACGGCACACTTCCCACATCCACCCGCCACGCGTCCCTCAAGGCTGCGGAAAAGCTCCGAACCGCGCACCTGCGCAGTGAACCAGCTGTGTAGCGATTCCGCTGCAAACAGCGGCGAACCAGCCTCGGCTGATTCACGCCGCCGCCGCCCCGCGCCACCCCCAGACTCCCACCAGCACGCCGTTTCGTCTCGCCGCTTCCACGCCAACCCCGCCGGGCGACCGCAGGCCCTCGGGCGCCGCCCCCCAAGCCCTGGCCCCCGGCGTGAAGACCAGCATCACCCGCCACACCACGCCAAAGGCCACGGCCAGCAGCATGAGGTGCATCGCGACCATTGCCGCAGGCAGCTGCTCTCCCGCTTCTGCCAATCCCGGCTCGTCCCCGCCCCGCCAAACTACAAAAGACGCCCTGGAGCGCCGCTCTGTCCACCAAACTATGTACGACACCAACACGAAGCCGAAAAAAAACTGCAGAAAAAGGACGAGTTGCAGGCATGGCTGGTCGATTTTCCATGCCAAAACCCCAGGCACCGAGCCCAGGCCTAAGGTCACCTCCAGCAGGCGGCGCGCAAGGCCGTCCAGAATGGACGTCAGACCGTCGATCGTGTGCCAAGCGGTGCACGAGTCGATTGACAGCGAGCACCTGCCAACGCATTGGGCTGCTGAACATGTGGGCACGCCGCTGTTGATCACGACGAAGGCCAGGGCGACGAGTTGGATGGGGACGTGGTAGCGGAAGTGGAGGGGCTGGGCGAGGGCCATGATGAGGAGGGCCCAGAGCCCGGAGTAGGAGAGGGTGGCGAAGAGGAGGGAGGAGGGGGCCAGGAGGGCCAGTGCGAGCGAGCTGGCGGCGTCCGAGCAGCCTAGGCCGGCCTCCAGGGTGGTCATGAACCTGCAGTGTCAAAAACCGGCCAATCGCTTTCAGGATCGGCATTTTTCTACACTCCAAACATTGCATCACACTTCAGCGACCAGGTGCCTCCTCTGTCCTATCACAAGATATTGAGCCTTATGCCACCTAGCAAGAGAGTGTGAGGCGATGCAAAGCACAAAGTTGTGGTCGATCGGCATTAATACGAATGGCACATTATATCATACATGGAATATGTGCAGTACAAGCAATACATGCAACGTGCATGTCTGTCGATCGACATTGTTATCAATAGTATCACGTACTGGTACCAGCCATATGTGTACTGACATCAGTCGCCTGGCACTATATACCAACCTATGTGGTGGACCACCGTGCCAGCGTTCTCATAGGAATGTCAAACATGCCAGGTGGGAAACGAACACAGGCAAGCAGAGCAGACTGGATTTGCAAGGCATGCAAAGTCTGCATGTGGCAGGCACGCCCTCTTTTGAGAAGTGTGCTGGGTGTGGCACGTGTCACTAATGGGCTCAGATTGTGACACAGCCATCATCCCCTATGGCAGGTTCCAAGGACCTCACAGTGTTTGGCTTGCCCCAGCCATGTACATGGTGTAGCCCTTTTCTATCCTTTGTGACTCATATCCCCAATGCGTTCTGCATCAAACCAAGGCTCCCTGGGAGCCTCAGTCATGGCAACATGCCAATTTGCGGAAGCAGGCGAAAGCTCACAAGTGTTTGAGAAGGAATTCGCTTTTGGCAATCAATCTCCAAGCAGTACAACAAACAGGGCCCACCCTACTCCCATCCACCCGCATCCCCCAAGTGCCACTGCTCTTCTTGAGACTGAGCATTTTTTCAGACATAAACAACCTCCTGGCTATACAACATCTTTCACTTCCTCATTAGATGGCACAAGGTCCATGCGCTTTCTGTCAAATTGGTGATTGAACTTGGATTCATAACTAAATCCGTCTGTCGTATTCTGGAATCCAAAGAGCAAAACAACGAGATCAACCCACACAAAATCGGTAACACGGAAATGCCCATGGCCACCATTCGCGGATATGCACTAATGGAATGCACCAATAATGCGATGCCAGCCACGATGCCATTTTTACACCACGTGGGCACCATCACAGTGATTGCAATGGCATAAACGTGGTTGTGATGGCATCAATCGGTGCCAAATGGGGTCACAGTTGCCATCGCCAAAATGGTGCTTACTACTGGTCTGTACAACTAGCCCTGTTGCATGTTTCTCAAAAAGCAAAGTTGGATGCTATTTGCCCCGTTGACAAGATCATCACAAGAGAGACGGCGTTGACAAGACCTCGCTGACAAGCCAGCTCCCATGCGCCCAGACCAAGGTGAGAATATAGAAGAGGGGGGGACTTATGTACCTCACAGCACTTCACCCAAAGATGCTGATGAACGTGTCACAAACAGTCTGCCCCCCTCACAGGCGCCCTGCAGAGTTTCCCAGCCAATAACCCCATGAGACCATAGCGTTGACCAAGCCACAGTCGCTGCAAACTCTCACACACTGCCCATTCACCAGCTTGCCTGTGTGGCTGCCTTGAATGTCAACTGGACTGAAACCGCGACTGGGAAAGGGTGCCAAGCCGCCCAAGCCGCCACTGCTTCCTCAACAGCCCAACACCCCTTCCAATATTTTCATCTCACGCCGCCACTCACACGAGCATCGGCAGCCCATCTGTCGTTTCAAACTCCAAACTCGAATCCAGCAAGTTTTTTGCTAATTGCTGCCTACCCTTTATTGCTTTTATAAGCATTGCAACCGCCTGTAGCAAGCTGCTGGCTTGATTATCCCACAGCGCTTCTTTCAAAAACTAAAATATCGCATGGTATTGACCTATCCCTCCATTCTCGTGTTGTGCTGTCGCGCTTTCACCGGAAATTGAGCAAACAAAGGGGCCAGCGACCAGCAGCGCAATGCCAATGCGCCCGTCAGCCGCAGGTGGCACGCCATTGAAGCGCGGATGGCAAGGAGGACGACTGGACCGGGAATCGAACCGGAGACCCCTGACGGGATGTCCCATTGCCCCACCGAACCATCTGGCCACGAACAGAGGATGGGGCGGCCCACTCCCCGAGTAGCCCCACTCCCAACACAATACATCCTTCAGCCGCGGGGGGCGCGCTCACAGCCCCCACACCACCGCCCCAAATAATATTACTGCCTGCACCAAATCGGCGACTGCTTGCACCAAGTCACGTGCGCACTTTGTCCTAACCTCAAATTAGGGTTAGGTTTAGTTTCAGGGTGAGTTTAAGGGTTAGGGTTAGGGTTAGGACAGGTTTAGGTTTAGGTTTTAGGGTTTAGGTTTTAGGTTAGGTGGGTTTGGACGGAGTTGGACATGATGTGCACGTGACTTGGTGCAAGCAGTCACCGATTTGGTGCAGCCAGTAATTTTATGCCCCACCGCCCCGATCTCCCCTATCACACCTAGCACCCCACCCCACAACCTCGCCATCAACCCCTTCCAAATCCCAGGCCTGTGTCCTGCATCCATCATCTGACTAAACCCCTCCCGGGCGCCCGCCTGACGCCCCCAGCGCCCACGCCCCGCGGCCAGCGCCCGCCCAGGCGGGCGCGGGCCCAATCTCCGTCCCCCCGCGCACTCGAGCACTTTCCATCCTGGACCCTTTGCCAGGTCTACCGCCCCGCGCCCACAGGCGCGAGCCGCCCGTCTCCGGCCGCGCTGACAGCCCGTCAACGGGCTCCGCGCTCAGCCCTCGCCCCGCCCAGACGCCTCCTGCTCCGCACAGCTGTCACAGCCACGCCGCCCAGTTGCCTGGATCGATGCCGGCAGCGCGGGTTGGCGCTAACACCGCCCAACTGCCCGAGCGTGCCAAACCGGCCGCCAATCTCCGCGGGAGAAAACAAACAAACGGGACAGGACGGCTTTCCTGGATGCCCTCGAGCAGGCGCGCTGGCCAATGGTAGATCCGATCGCCCTCCCCCTCCCCCCTCCCCGTTCGATCGGCGCCAGTCTTATCGGCTCGCAAAACCCCCCGGCAACTTTCCCCCCTTGCCTAAATCAGCTGCCAACACCATGCAACCACGCAACACAAAGCACAGGACAGCTCCCTGGATACTCAAGCGGAGGCGCGACGACCAATGGGACCCAATCGACCCCAAGGCGCCGCCCGCACCGCCGGCCTCCGTGACGGGCGCCCCAAAGATCCAGAGCGCGATGCCGTGCACGTGACCGACCGGATGCACGCGGTCAACGCTTCAACGCCCGAGGCGTCAACGCGGGCAAGGCAGAGCCCGGGGAGTCGCATGCGCGCCGTTCGCCAGCGGGCTTCCCGCCCACAGAACCCCTCGCAATCGAAATCCCCCCCCTTCCCCTCCTGACTTGCTGATCGCGGCGCTCGTGTAATGTGCGCCATTCCCTCGCGCTGCAGACTCCGCATCATCTTTCCGTACCGTGGAAAGGGGCCCCGATCACTCGCCCAAACGGGACCCCGGGAGGCCCACGGGGGGTTGCTGCATACAGTGCCCTCTTCCCCTTGCACACCCAACTCCACATCATCTTTCCGTGCGATGGAATGGCGTCTCAAGCGCACGCCCGCACGTACTCGCTCGAGAGCGAGCCGGCCCAAGGGCCCGGGAGGCCCTGAGTGGGTGCCTCCTGTGGCCCGCTTCTCCCCTTCCCTTTGACGAATCTCAGTCCCAAAACCCGCCCCAGCCCAAAGGCGCACAAGTCCCCCCACCCACCTCGTGGATATCACCAGCGGCGTGCGCCACGCTCTGGCCGTCTCCCAGCTCACGGCCCCGCGCACCGCTAGGTCTGCCGCCGCCCACAGGACCCAGGCGATCGACGGCCAGGCCGCCCTCGCCATCTCCGCCGCCTCCCACGCCGATCCTCCGCCCCTGGCAATCGGCCAGACCAGCGCGATCGTCCGCGCCAGAATCGACAAAGTCAGAAAGGTCCCGTCCGTCGGGCCGAATCGGCATCGGAATGCCCAGTCTTCGTACTGAGCCTCGAGCCGCGGCTCGGAGAACGTCAGGAGGATGGGGTCCATGACGACCCGGGGGGGGGGAGGGCGGCGGGCGGCCATCATCGCCCCTCTTTATTGCCTTCGCCGCGGCCAGAGGCAGCCAAAGGCGGACTGGGGTGGCCCGGGGTAGCTAGGGGGGTGGGGGGCGGGGGGTAGCTAGGCGGCCTGGCCGTGGGCGGCATGGGGTGGTTCAACTACGGGGATTGGGGGTGTTGTGGGCTCAAGCAGCGGGGTGGGGGCCAGGGGAGGGCAGATAGGGGTTAGTCATCCGCTTGTGTGGGGAGCGCATTGGGTTGAGGGTCGTCACAGCGGGCCCCGATGTGTGGCTCGCGGTGTGAACGCGAGGAAGTGTCTGTGGGTCGCACTGAGGCGGGGCGGGGAGTGATGGGGCGGGGGCGGGGGGGTCATGACGGGAGGGAATCGACTGTGCTGCGTTTGCTTCGCCTGCGCGAAGCGGTGATTCGGGGCGATGGGAGCCCTGTGACTGGGGCCGGCACGGCGCGCTTTCGCGCCCCGCCCTTGGGACTTCCAGGGCGCCCAGTTCGCGAAGTCGCGCCGAGAAATTCCAACTGTACAGCTAATTGGTAATCGCCAGCGGAGGTTGACGTTGGCGTACCGGCGACGCGCCGCTCGACCGGGCCGAACGCCGTCGCGAATTTGATGCGCCTGACGTCGAATTGGAGGATTGTCCGATACCTATCGTTACGGTCACGAAGGTGATGGAGGGGTCATGAAGGTCATGAAGGGTACTAGCCACGCTAAACCCTGTTAGGCATACCATTAGTCACTTAGTCCTGGTACGTCAGGACAGGCTTGTGACTAAACCCTGGAATGTAAAATGGTATGTCGCACTAACCAGACTGTGTGTAATGCCCTGAAAGATTGCGATGTAAAATGGTATGCAGGGACAGGTCTTCTCGCACCGCACAACCATACAGCTGAGAGAGAGAAAGCTGTGAAGCATGTTGTTAAATATAATGACCAGCATTAGAATATAATAGTTTCTAGATGCTGGTTTAAAGGGGCATTAACATACATTTACATGCATACTGATGTGCGAAGGTTATGGGCTGGAAGATGAAGTCAATACAAGGACAAGCTTGATGAATCTGGCCGGAAGAAGAATATGATGATTTTGGTGGAGGCAGGACGTCTATGAATTGTCAGAGATGTTTCGAATTGGGAGTCCCATAGGATGCGAACTTTTCAGGACAGGATGGAATGGATAGTGGGGATTGGCATGGCAGCTGAATATGAGCGAGATGTGATGAAAGGGGAATGTCAATCATTGTAAGATTGACTGAGTGAGAAGTATGTGAAGTCGAAGGATGATTGAGTCTGGGTGAATGGACTATGGCTGTGCCATGCATAAGTTTCTTTGGAAGACCCACTTCGAGAACATTGCATTATTGTATAACCGTGAGATTTCGAAGCGACAACTGTCCTTTTATACAAGAAAGGAGACTCCAAGGATATGGCAGGAAAGAGCGTTTGCCAAAGATTCGATATGGCCTAAGGTGTACCACGGTACATGGAAAAAAGACGGTTGAAAAGAAACGGAAAAGAAGACATATGTTAGACATCACCAGTGATCGAAAAAAAAAAAAGCTAATAAGATTAGGCTAAGAATGCGCTTGATGATACAAGTCGGATGTGACAAGCCCATGCGACTACAATAGCCTGTTACGACTACAAAGATAGTGGATATTCAAACGACGCTATGCGCTGAAATCACTAGAATGGGTTTGGAATCCGTATACACGCGATTAACGCCCAAAACGAGGGTATGTACCAGCGTCGCTTGATGGCAAGAGTGCACACCGTATCATCCTGCGGGGCGAGGCAAATACGCTCGATCGCTGGCCGTCCGTACTGATAGATCAGCAAAACAATTTTGGAAGAGTCAATGGACTCACTTGCGGCCAATAATGGCTGAGGGGTTGAATCAGCTCAATGATTCAAGATAACGAAAAGACAGGCAATAAAGGAATTGATTCACAGAGGGGATGACATAAATAGTCATGGAACATAGGGGCTGGTGAGGGGGCAGGGCCTCATGATCATCCGTAAGGCCGCCAAGTGCAATGCCCTGCAGTGCACCATGAGTCACACTCCTGGCCAATCTGATGCCAGCCATGTGTGCGCAGTCACACCTAGACGTATGTCCTGACATATTGGAAAGTGTGTGCAAGTACGCCGTACGTTATGACGTACCGCAAAAAGGCACATGCGCAGCCATGCGCTCCGTCAACCTTGGTAGCCGTACGATCGCTCGAGAGGGTTCCCTGGGGACCCGTTCCGGAGGGATAAGAGAGCGCGGGAAAGGATGTCTCGGCGCGAAGGGCGAGCGGAACACATCGCCCCCGAACGGCCTGACGAGTGCGAGGAAGAGACCTGGACATGGCAGACCTGGTCGGCGCGCCATCCATGGGAATGTTGGCCATGGATGCCCTCGCTCCGCCACCTCCGGAACCGAGAGTCAACGGCCCGCCTCTTGAGGTTCAGGCATGCCTCCGCGAAGCCCTGGATGGATCGGTGGGCATGCCGTTACCATGGACGGCCCCGACGGGAAGGGGCCTGCCTCAGTGGTGGGCCCGCGCTGCTTATGAGTGGACTTGGCGTTGGAGGCTTGAGCGGACAGACCAGCCGCTCAGGTTGAAGATTCGTGCCTTCGTTGTGTGCGCAGTCCCAACATTTCGTTGGGGTCTTGCGCTGCGTCAGAGGGTGAGGATCCGCCTCCAGGGATGCCGAGGGCGTTGGACTAAGGAGCACAATGAAGTTTGGACGATCGCGGAGCGCGATACAATGCACAAGAAGCCAAAGGCTTTTGGATACAAGGGGGAAGGTCCAGCCATCCACCCCGCCGAAGGCCAAGGAGGTGCGCCGTTGGCATTTCTGCTTCGGTCGGAGGATTTGCGGTGGGAGGTGGTCGCCGCCTCCAAGGTTAAGGCGTGGATAAGCTTCCGCGGAACCTTCCCCCTTGTTGATTATTTGGAGGGGATGTGGCTGGCGAACGCCTTGACCCGTCGTGAAGAAAAGCAAGCCGACAGGGCGAGGAGATTGGCGCTTGAATCCCAGTTGCCGCCCAGTTGGACGGTAACGTACTGGGAGCGTTTCAACGAACGACTCCGGCGGGGGACCCCAAGTGCCCGCGCGCATGCGGAGGAGGCGTTTGCATGGGGCCCCGGCTGGGTGCGCCAGCCGGGGGACCCCAATTACTATGGTAACCGAGAGTGCGAGTGGTGCACAGCGGACTCTATGTGTCCCATGTGCACCTTCGCACGCTCGAAGGGCAAGACTGCTGAATCTTTGGTCACCACGGATGAGGAGTGGGTAAAAAGGGAGAGCGAGGGCGTTATGACCCCCCCCGGATGGGAGCCGCGCCAGTTTGTTCGCCTTGGGTTCCTGGACCAAGAAGAGGATCCCGGCCAGGGAGGACTGCAAGGAACCGGCGCGCATGGACATGCGCAGGCTGCGGACGAGGGGCGGGGGCTGGCGCGCGATGGCGATGGCCTGCTCGGGGGAACGCGGGCTGCGCCAGGGACCGAAGGGGCCGAATTCGTCATCATTGGCGAAGGCCCGCGTGCGGCAGACGCCGAGATGTACGACGGCGATGGGGAGTACAGCGGGGAGCCGAGCATCGGGGGCGGAAGGCGATCGGGGTCGGACAGCGAAGATGGCGGTTGGAGGATCATACATAGAATGCCCTGAACTGAGGTGACGTTATGGGGAAGTGGTTGTGTGATCTGAGTGGATCAAAATAAGCTTGCAGTTCATGTTGTGATCCGAAGTATCACTGAAGTGACCTGGTATGAGTGATTGATTTGACATGAACGGATAAATATGATGAACTGGATAATAGAAAGTGACGGGTAATAATAGAGAAAGATAATATTGATGATGTAGTGGATTAAATTGTAGTGAATAATGGATCTGGACGCTTTGTGAGAGATGACATGGGCTATGAGTGCCTTGAACCTGGGCGGTTATGGGATCAGCATACTCCCATGATATAGACATGCTGATGATCAGAAGATTGAACGGGAAGCTGAGGGAGAAAGGAAGGGATGATCCGGGAAGTTAGCTGGATCTGGTCGGAATCTTTCAGGGAATATTCCTGGCGTAGGGACAGCCGCTGCGGGCTATAAATAGCGGGGCAGAACCCCATTTGAACAAGCGGCTCCGACTCCGAAGTGGCCAGCCCCAAAGCCAATAGGCGGAGGGACTTGGTAAACTAAAACTTGAACCGCTCTTTGTAGTACAGGTTGTGGCCCGTGGAGGGTCACGGTGTAATTAATTTCGGAGTTCATTTTCTCAATCTTTGTCTCATTTAAAGAGTCATTTTACTGATTATAGACTGGTCTATTGGGAAAACCTGCGGGGCCCCAAACCGTCTATCAATTCAGTAAGGACTCTTGGCCGGATCCACTGGGGAAACCTGCGGGGTCCCAGATCCGGCCCTGTACTTAGTGGGGAAGCCTTCGGGGCTCCCACTAAAGTACAGTAGTGAAGACTAAAGCACTGAGTTCATAAATATAAATAATATATACGGCGACCCTGAAAGCCTTTCGAAAAGGCTATTGATGTTTTGATCCATTGAGGTGGGAATCAATCTGAGCGCGGCTAGAAACGACAAAACAGGGAGGTAAGTAATCATTATAAGGTAAGGTTGAGTCAATTGCGCGATCAGTAAAGGTCAATCCGAAGCTGACATAGTACTGCCTCAGGAAGGTCCAGTACTGAAGGGAAACAGAGGTTGGACGTAGTGCAAATTAGCTACAATATTAAGAACATACAAAACCCGTCTATTATAGTTTAAATCTTGCTCAATGAGGGATCAAAGGGCATGAGTCACATTGAAAAGAAAGAGGACAGATTCAACTGCCCCCCTCAGGTGCTGACGCCTGCATCTAAGCCCGGAAGTGTAGAGTGTCCCCCAGCTCCTGTGAAGGACAATCTACAGAGAAACACACAGGACGCTCAGAAGCAATCCCTAACCAGGAGTCAAATTCGCCAGCTGCGAAAGAGTTGGAGTGAGCTGTCAGAGAAAGTGATTGAGAAGT